AGGTTCTACGTGTGTAGTGGGGACCCGCACGTGGTCTCCTTCCTGGTGATGCTCTGCGAGAAATGAGGAGGGAAAAAGACGCGGTCTTTCTGGAATTCAGGTGATTTGGTAACGGTCAGAGTCTGCCCTACGAGGAGGGTGCTCGAGCTGGGCTCGAGCTGGAGTTCACGTGGTCGAGGACACCATGTTCGCGGGCAACGGCGGGCACGGCTGCAGTTTCTGGTCGGGCGCGCTGGCAGAAATCCTCGGGCGCGCGCTCCTCGAAGAGTCGCTTGGATTGGGCCTTCGTTCTTGCTTTTGGGCCAGGGCGGGCCCAATCCAGAACAACTTCTAAAACAGAAAGAAAGTATTATTCTTCAAAAGTTACAGTTAAATGAATAAGAAAGCAAGTCCTTATAAAGGCACAACAATGGGCTTGGACTGAAAAAAACAAATATTCTAATCTTTTGAATATTTCCATGAAAACAGACCAAGATATAATCCTTAAGGATAATTCAAGTAGAAAAATATTCCTCCATATTTTTCGCAGCCTATGAGTCACAAATCCTGAATTATGACACGCTTGAAAACAGGAAACATAAAACTTAAATTGCTGTGAGTTGCGTTCAGCTCAGGAAGCAGATGTCAAGACATCTGCTTTGACATCATTCAAAATAATTTACTCCAAATATCAAGACATTTAGCAAAACATCATCACAATATTGTTTTTACCAAAATTGCTGCCACAAACACTTATAAACTCTCCCTTTGATAAATTTTGGCTAAAACATTATTTGAGTATATTATCAGAACATTATCAGAGCGACAATATAAGCAAGGCAAGCAAAACAAAAACTCTCAGTTAGCAGTTAGCTGTTAGCAAAGGAAGATGACAGAACATCTTCTGAGACATGAAGCTCCCCTAAAAAATTAAACTCCTCCTCAGTCAGTGGTTAGTCAGTCAGAGGTCAGTCAGGTCAGTTAGTTTCTCTCTCCCTTTTTAGTCATAATATTTCAAATAGAAAGATGCATTCAAGAGTGTATCACTAATATAAGTACAAACCATAGAATTCAAAAGTCAAGCACATACTTATTTAAAATATAAAATAACATAAAAAACATTCTTATTTAAAAATTAGTGATTTATTTATTTTATTATATTATATTATTATAAAATTAACTTTTATTTAATAAAAATAAATGTATTACCAAACAGAGTTGAAAACCAAAAGTTTTTATTTTTAGTTTTACCAAACAGACCATCTCTTAAATGTTTTGTTTCACATTCAATCATGAATGCCATTAATTGTAGTTGAAGGAGATAATTTTTTTATTTAATATTTTTAACCAAAATGTTAAAGAATTAATTATTACACTATAAAAATAAAGAAATTAATTAATAAAAAATCAATTGTGGAAAATTTTTTTTATCTGTTGCGCAATATAAGAAAATAGTAATAAATAATTGAATCAAGATCTGAATAGATATTTTAATTTGAAGTATATCCCATTATTTTTCAGCTTATTGGTACAATATTTTTGGTAGTAGAAAGAAAAAGAAAAAGAAAAAGAAAAAGCAAACGGATAGAAAGAAAAAAAGTGGACTAAGAACATAAGAGTGTGTGAATAGAAACAAAAAAGGAAAAACATAATTTAGTTACAAAAAAGAGAAAGCCATAGAACAAACACACACTAGACAGTGAAGTGAGTGAGTCTGAAAGAACAAATTGAAGGCCAAAACCATGGCTGTTTCAATAACTCTCATAGTAGCAATCATTTCTCTCCATCTCTTTGCTTTCGTTTTCGCTATCGGCGCCGAACGACGTCGTAGTCAGGTAATCCCTAATCCCTAATCCCTAATCCTATTCCTACTTTATTTATTTTTGGTTTCTTTCTCAAATCTCGTTGATTCCGTTCAGGCGAAAGTGGTTCCTGATGAGTACGACGATCGATCTTTCTGTGTTTACACCACCGACGCTTCCACTGTTTACGGTCTCGCCGCCTGCTCGCTCCTGCTCCTCAGTCAAGCTATCCTTTATGCTGTTACTAGATGTCTTTGTTGCGGTAAAGGTCTTGTTTCCGGTTGTTCTACTACTTGTGCCGTTTTCTTCTTCGTTCTCTCATGGTAAGGTTCCGATTATTTCTACTTTTTTTTTTTTAAATTTTAAATAACCCTATCTCTTTTATTTGTTTGTATTTTTACTGTCAGTTAGTGAATACAACAAGTTAAAAAAAAGTTTTAGTAAACAAATTCACTCGACCTCTAAACACCACAGTTACGCCGACACTGGTATTAATTTAAACAATAAATTAATTAAACTTAATCACAAGTGTCGATTTCGGCCACTATACATATACACCTTTTTTTTCCAGATGTGTTTATTTCACTTTTTGAATTGATTGTTTACTTTGCAATTGAAAATGGATTGGAATATGGCATTTGGTTTGGGTCCATATAGTGTTGGATTGGATAGAAATCTATGGATCATTTTCATGTACACATAGGTCATAAAGTGGTTGTATGGGGATTTGGATTGTCTGCAGTTCGCAAATGCAAACAATCCCCGCACAAAGAACAAATTGGCGGTCAGGGGTCACAATATCGTGATATTAGAGATATAGTTTGTTAGTCAGTTGATACTGGACACAAAGTTAGTCGGTTATGTTCCATCGTTTGGATTTTGTTAAAAAGAGTATGGAATGAATGAAACAGAACATAATGGAATGCATTCTGTCCTATTCCATTATTTACCCTCGTTTTTCTTCCTTCTGATTTGGGCGGAATAACATTTTGTTACAATCCATGCTTAAATATTCAAACAATGGAATGAGATATCCAGTCCACTCTGTTCCCCCCTCCATTCCACTGAGTAAGTTGATGTTAACTTTGTCTTTAATATCAAATAACTAATTAACCTTGTTCTCTAGTATAAGTAACTTACTAATTTTATCTCTAGTATCAAGTTTGAAGTTTTTGTTTCAAAAGATATCAAAATCTGTATTGAACTCAGAGTTGTAAGACCTAGATATGTGTAAGACAGGATTTCAACCTAAAGTGTCACAAAAATAACGATGATTTTTATTATTGTTGTGGTTAAATCATTCAGGCTTGGTTTTTTGGGAGCAGAGGCGTGCTTGTTAGCAGGGTCTGCGCGGAATGCGTACCACACAAAATACCAAGGGTATTTTACAAAACATGACTTGTCTTGCGCCACTCTTCGCAAGGGTGTGTTTGCTGCTGGAGCTGCCTTGACCTTGTTCTCTATGTTTACTTCCATTTTGTACTATTGGGCACACTGTAAGGCTGATACTGGCTTCTGGGAGAAGCACCAGAATGAAGGTATTGGATTGGCCACACACAATCATGGCCCTGAATCTGATAAGCCCTGAAGATTTACCACTTTCAATGCCAAGGGTTATTAATTTACACAATTTTGGGTTTTGTTTTGTTGGATAAGGTATTTTGGATGTAAAGGGAGGAACAATGTGCTTTAAAAACCATGTTGGTAGATGTATGTGATATTTATGCTGTAATAGCAAAATGCGTAAAACAATATATATAATATAGATAAATAGATGGTAATGGTATGGTGGAGGTTAATATATTCTAGTTTCCAGTTTGAAAGTGTTGCTCTTGAAGTGAAACATTTGCATTATTAGTGCATCGAATGCTTGCATTATTGTGATAAAAATGTGCTTGATAACTCAAGTAAAATTACCATGACAGCCTTATTTCTAGTTGAATTTTCTTCTTTCTTAGTCTCTTGATGCAATGTCTCAATTTATTAAGGCCCTTTCTTCTTCCTTCCTTCTTGCATCAGCATTGATCATTATCTTGTTGTGTTGCAGTATAGCTGAATTCTTATAATTAATTTTTCTCTTCAATATCTTGATATTTGAATTTTGTGCTACTTGCCCCATCAAATTATCTTGGATTATATGATTTGTCAATTCTAAAATTTATGTTACGGAATTGGGGGCCATTTGATTAATTATTTTTAAAGGAATTGGTGTGGATCATGGGTCATATTTAATTTTAGAGTTTAATTAATATGCACTTTCAGTGTAAATTTTTTTTTTACACCGACAATGTTATTCAATTAAATTTTTAATTTTAAATGTTTTTTTTCTGTTGTTTTCATGTATTATTAACTTGTTGAAATTCATCCATTTTTTTTTTATGTTCATAACTATTGTTGTGAAATTACCAGATAATGTAAAGAAAAGGTTTAGAATAGTTGTGGAGTAGTCAATTCACCCAAGTTAATCAAATTCCATTTTTATTTAATAATTATTAGGAGTGTGTTTTAAAATTTTCTGCTATCTTAACCTATGATTGAAAAATAATACAGAAAGCAACGTTGTCGTTCTCGAACATACTATTTTTGTATTTTGATATAAACCTACCCATTTAACGAGTACAATGTATGGCTCCAGGCATGACACAAGTGACATTGAAATTCAACTATGGATTGAATAATTTAGTGGTATTGGAGTAATTAATTGGACTCTATTAACTATTGAATTCAAGTTTTAGTGGGACTCCAGAGAGGTCTTGAGGAATGTAACAAACATAAAAAATAAAAAATACAAGGATTTTTCTCAATTTTGTGGCACTAGTTATTTGCACCCTCTTCACATGCATAAATTGCAAAACATCTAGTTGAAATTTATTTAACTCTGAACCTAACTACAACTCATTTAAATCTTAATTATAATTAGTTTCACCAAAAAAAAAGTGGTGAGTGACTAGAGATAATTTGGACAATAAAACAAATGAAATAATGAGTAACATAACAACATCAAATTCCATTCATTAACATAAAACATAGGTGAAACAAGATCAAATCCTACGACAACAGTATTGTCGCATAATCACACCAAACTGAGACATAATCCGAGGAACTTTCCTACTTGAAGAGAGAAACATAACAAAATACAACACAAACAAAAAAAAACATATTATATAGTTGGTATGACTTAAAAACAGTAACATGATTGATTTGATACTCATGTTACATCTAGCAAACTGGGAATGGTGAGTCACATGTATCAGCAACCTTAATGGCATTAGGAGAGTTAACAAATTTCTTAAGGTTAGGATCTCTCAAATATTGGCAAAGGCAAGGCTTTTGTTCCTTCAATTTGCTGCAACAAGTTGCAGATGGAGGGTTTGAGGTAGTGATTGCATTTGCACATGCACTCAGCTGTAATGCGTTACATGTTACTCCTCCCATTGATAACTCTGACTTTGCAAGGAACAATGTAAGCATAATGCACAATGTTAGATATGAAAATTTCATTTTCAAAGATTGGAAAGAAATAGACAACGAAAATGTATGATTCTCCTCAGTCCTCACTATTTATATACGAGGAGAGGGGCACTAGATTTGCATTGTAGTTTTTATAGATTATTATATTGTGTTATGTGACCTTAGGAAAAGGGTGGTGTCTACTATAAAAGGTTATCCATCAAATGAAAGTATTTCGTCGATGCGGAATAGTGCTACTAATAAAGTTGGTTGTTCCATAGTTTGACTATGATTATGAATTTCCGGAGGCCTTTTGCTTTATTATGTAGTGATTGCTCAATTGCATATTCATTGGATTCGTCATTTGACTAAGGTCAGGATTATAGGTTTTCGCACAACTTTTTTTAAAAGGGTGTTTCATAATAGCCTATGATCAGTTTTTTTAAAATTGGACCGAAGCAGTATTGGGTTATTGATTTATTGGTCGAACTATTGGATCACAAACTGTATGATTAAACTGGATTAAATTGAATAACCCGATTGAATAGACAAGTCATTGTAACAAAACTATATAGATATAAAATTTGTCGAATCAGATTGATTCAATCTCTACAAAATATAACTAACACTTAATTTTTTTGAAAATATCATATCATAAATAAATTTACAAGTTTATAATTTAAATTCAAATTTTAAACATAGGTTTCACGTATAATAAAATAATACAAAATTACAAAGTCTAATTGCAACATAATCTAATTGAATAATTTATAATAAAATAACTCAACTGTCAACTAAATTTAGTTTCAAGGAGGAAAAAATATTTCAATATTGAGATCTCCTTCTTCAATATCTAAACCATATGCAATAAAGTCAACTGTATATGCAACATCTTCTCCGTCAATGGTATCATTATTTTATTTAATTTTTTATTTAATTTTTTTATTAAAATAATCCAAACAACATCGTTTTGATTTTTTAAAATTAAAAAAAAAGAATAAAAAAGCAATTAAAACACCCGTTTAGAAAAACCTTCGATTTTTCTGATTTTAGCGGTTTACACCAATTTTTCAGGTTTGCACCAATTCAGCGACATATCTGACTCAACAATTGAACCAGACTGATTACCTGATCGGCTACCGATTCGATCGGTCCGACCGACAGTTCAATTCAGTTTTTAAAATACTACCTAAGAGTGTTCCAACTCTTTAAATTTTTTAAATAATGAAGTTATTATTTCTTTAAAATCATTTGAATTTCCAATGAAGAAGAAGATTCTAACATAGATCTCCTGGTATCAATACATCCAACTTTATCAACATCTAAAAAGTCTTGTAAATGCACATTTGAATTTTCGAGAAAGAATAATCCTCAATTAGGACAAAGTTTCAAGTACTTCAAAACTCTACAAGATGCATTGTAATGCACATGGAAGGATTGTTGTAATACCCCATTTTTCCATATGAATATTTATAATGAAATATACGACAAATGCATCGGAGTTTATAATGGGATGCCACATAAATCATAAAATCCATAAAGTTCTCAAAATACTTTATTACTCTGTGTATCCAAAAATGGTTATTCGGCAGCGGAAAATCAACATAAAAGTAGTTCATTGGCATTCTAGCCTTAACAAAAATTCAAATCCATAATACGTGGTCCATCATAAGTTTAAAAGAAAATGTGCAACATTTGAAATTATACAAAACATAATGAGAATCCCAAATCCCATGTTACATATCAGAGCGATTCCTAAGACTCGATCTGGTACATCACTTCAAGCACTACTCGGATACCTAATTATTTGTACTCCCGAAGAGTACAAACACAACAACATAAAAGGGGTGATAATTTTATTCAATAACTACATGGTGAAATAAAATATGCTAAGGAGTAGTAAATCACAACATACAAAAAATTCATCAAACAATCATCATCACATCATACAACATCAATTCATTGTTTATGCAATACAATAGTCCTACATCAACATACATGTGGTACCATCAAGGTATAAGCCTTCAACTCAATTCCAATTGGGCAATAACAGAGTATAAACCCTCAACACAACGCCAATCTAGGCCAACATTAAGACATAAGCCCTCATCCATGAATGCATGCAATGTGAACATGCAACAACGTGAAATCATACAACCACAAGACATAAGCCTTCACCACCATGGAAATTTAAGTCATCCACATCATCCTCATCATAATCACCAACATTGCCACATACCGGTATCATCAGCAAAAGAACATCGCAAGAAAACAACCCATCGTTTCGGGGTAACAACGGGGAATAATTCCTATTTTAAATTAGTTACTAGAATTATTATTCTAAATCTTTATTTTATTCTACCTACTTCAAGTTTATGGTGTTAGCTATCCAATGCTTCGAACGACGCATCAAACAGAGTTACGGTTCAAAAGTTATGGCCGTTATAAAAATTGTCAAAATTGGGCTTCCCTCGGGTTAGGTTGCGTCGACCCTTACGTCAACCGCTCTTGGCTTTTGCGTCGATTGCCCCTGCTGTTTCTGTTTGCCACTCACTACTGTTGCTGTTTTCCGCTCACTACTGTTGCTGTTTGCGTCGACCGCTTCCCTGTTTACGTCGATGCAAACTGTTAAAATCTGAGTTTTTCTGCAATTTTTCTGCGATTTCACTAAATTTTGGGTCCTAAAACATCATCTAATTATAGGAATTCATTATCCATTATCATCCTATGTTTCTACATCAATTATACATCATTTGGACATTATTATTCATCTTATATTTCATCAAATACTCATCCAAAATCCTCAAAATCCTAATTCTCATTACTTATAGGTTCTAGATTGGGGTTTTATGCAATAATCATCATAACAACACTGTAATACGATGGAAGAACTGACTTGGATGTTTTGCGTTTTATCGTAATTGTGGCGGATAGAAAGAGTCGCCACTGACTTTTCTTTTATCCAATAAAGGAAAGGGTGAAAAGAACATGAAAGACCTTTTGAGAATTTTCTTGAGTTCGGGGGGTAGGTTATGAAAAGGTAATGTGTTAGCACCCTTTTCATCCGTAGTTATCTACGGGCTCTTAGTTGCTAGCTCACTTTAAAATGATTTGTTTGAAACGTGTTTGTGATTGGTTTTGAAAGTATTTTTTGAAAAGTGCATTCATTTAGGCGAACTTTGTAATGATTCTCGTCTCAATAAGAATGTATACAAAGTGTTGACCTTTTGAAAATATTTCATTTTTGAAAGTGTTGGTGTGTTTGAAAAATGTTGTTTTGAAAATGTTGTGAGCAAGAAACTATGAATGTTCTACCTACTCAAAAGGTCTTTATTCTTTTCCTCCTCCTTTAGATGTTGTCATCTTACCATTGATTGGTAAGAAGCCTCATTATTGGATGTGAATGGACAGACGCAGGTCAATCGTACAGTCATAGAAGGCAACTTGTGAGACACTTTAGCAATTTTTGTAAGGGACTAAGATTATTTTACCGAAGGCAACATCGAAGAGTCATCGAGGGACTACGATCTTTCTTATCGAAGGTCTTTGCTAAAGCGTCCCATATTCGAGGGACATGACTGTTTTTTCAAGGCGACAAACGAGGTTATTCTAGAGGTGCGCGTGTGAAAAGTGTGTTTGATTCAAGTTAATTTGTCTTTGAAGTTTATGATTTTCTATCGTTTGATTTTATATCTTATCATACACGCCTAATTACTATACAATATACAGGAAAACAATAAATTTCGGAAATTAAAGTTCTACGCTATTACAAAGTTTCAGGAATGGGGGGTACAAATTTACAAATAGGGACGAATTGAATTGACAATGCGATTAAAAGTCTAAATAAACAAGAAATACAACCCAATCGAATTAAAAATAAACAAATATTTAAACTAAAAAAATAAAATTAATTAGCAAAATAAATAACACTATAATATTTTTGGTATTTTTGTTTGTGAGAGAATTGGAAAAGAATAAAAAAAATCTATTAAATAAAATAATTGACTAAAAGAAATAAAACAATTTAAAAGAATGTTAACTAACAAATGTTAACTAATAAAATTATTCACAAAATCCTAAACTAAATTAATTAAGAAAGTTAACAAATTTTGAAATTATATTATATTTAATTGGATTTTAAAATTAAAACTAAATCTAAACTAATATTTTGTTATCAAATATATTTAATAGAAATGAGAAATAAGGCTAAAGAACTAAAAAAAAGCCCAAATGAGTAGTAGAACCCGAGTCTTCTAGGTTGCAACAAACATGCCTTGCCAACTAAACTATGCTATTTATCTGTTATGTCTATGCTTCAATTAAAATAAAAGGGGAAAACGGTAATGGATTGGGCCAACAGGCCCAAAGGGGCTGACCCAGTTTAGGAAGGGACAAGGAAAATTTTGAAACCCTAAAGCAGAGGTGCACCGCAACTGTTATGTTATTGGGAAGGAAAATTAGATTAAGTTATTATTATTGTTTCAATAAAAAACTATTAAAATGGGACATTGAAACAAAACAAATATGATCCTCTCTCTCTCTCTCTCACGTATCAAAACTCTACATCCATCTTTGTACATCCTGGGCTTTCTCCATCTTCATCAAAACCTGCTTCACCAATCTTATCACTAAGTAGATCCCAAGTGCCTCTGCAACAAAATGTGGTCCAAGTGCAGAACCTCCAATCCCAATAGAAAGTATATGAGTAAACCTTCCCTCCAGTGAAGAAGGCGGCTTAATCTTACCAGAGACGACATCATCTGCAAATCCACAAATAACATTAAACGTCTTATCACTCTGCGACTTCAGAAACGAATTCGGCGCACGATTCGAATCCCTAAGCCAAAAATGTCCAACCATACGCCCTTCATCTGGATTCACAATCACTCCCTTCTCTAGCTTCTCAATAGCTATAAGCACGTCCTACAACCGCGACTCCATGATGGTAACAAAATCATCGGTAAACCTGACGTGGCTCACATCGAGATACATTCCAATTTCCTTGTGCTGGTAAAGCCAATCAACATAGCACCGCCATAGCGCGTGAGGAT